TCTGAATCAGCACGAGAATATATTCAGTCTGGGGGGAGAACCGACTCCCTATGCACAGCACCACATCAACACTGGCGATCACCCTCCGATTGCCTTACCTCCGTACCGAATCTCCCCAGCTAAGAAGTTATTACTGAAAACCGAATTGGATCGACTGTTAGCTGAAGGTATAATAGAAGAGTGCGGAAGTCCGTGGGCCGCACCGATCGTACTCGTTCCTAAGAAAGATGGTGGAATTCGATTTAACGAAAAAGAAGGCAGTGTGACGGTGGACTCCCGAATGCCAAACGTCATTTGAAAAACTGAAGCAGTTGCTGTATACTTGGACAAAATGACGAGACGAATCGTGACGAGTCTGATACGTACTGTTGCGAGTAGTTATGCATTAGGCGCCGTATTGCTACAAGGTGAAGGAGAAGATGAGCATCCAGAGTACGCGAACCGTTTACTGAATGCCGCAGAACGAAACTACTCCACGTCAGAGAGGAAAGCCTTAGCTGTGGTGTAGGCCCTAGGAAAATTCAGAGGCTACGTTGAAGGCTCTCCGATAGTCGTGCAAACCGATCGCCAACCACTACGATGGTTACTCAGTTTGAAATCACTTACTGGTAGGTTAGTACGATGGGATTTACTTATGCAAGATTACGATATCAAGATAGAGTACTTACCAGGAAAACGACCGTTGTCGCCGATACTTTGTCTCGTCCTCCTTGCGACCATGAAGAACAAGTGGCTTGCGGGTTGTTCGAGGTTATTATCGAATCATAGGAAGGCGGATGAAATAAGAAACGAACAATTGAAAGATCCTGAACTGGCAAAAATAATCAAAAGTTTCGAAGATCCTTCGGATACAGAATTTGCCAAGTAAACAGATCGAGGTTATATCCTGTCCCAGGGAGTAGTATATCACTACTCCCCAGAAGAAGATGAAGAAGAAGTACAGTTGGTAGTGCCTTTTCACGAAAGAGCCAGAATTCTAAGTGAATGTCATGACGCACCAGAAGCCGCTCATTATGGTGTTGAGCGTACTCTCCAACGCATTGCAAAGAGGTATTGATTACTTCATAGGGATACGCCGATACGTGACCGCTTATGTAAGTAAAAGCCTTGATTGTCAGCGCTACACAGCCACAAACCAGAAACCAGGTGGACTTCTACAAACTCCTACAAATCCTAGCCATAGATCTCTTCGGACCGTTACCAGAAGGACCAAGTGGAGAAAGGTGGATATTCATTGTTGAAGACATTCCTACGAAGTGGGTCAAGTTATTTGCCTTACAGCGTGCTACTGCAGAGGAGTGTGCCCTCATTCTGCTCAACGAAATATTTTTCCGCTATGGATTTCCTCGTAAAATCATCAGCGACAATGGCGTACAGTTTGTATCCGCTGTTATGCAACAGGTATGCTATACCTTGAACATCAAGGAAACATTTACCCCTCTTTATCACCCATCAGCCAACATGGTCGAGAGGAAAAATCGTGATCTCAAACCACGACTCGCTATCCTGGTGGGGAGCGATCTTCGATCATGGCCTGAGAAGTTTGCAACGACTAGATTTGCCATGAACTCCGTATGGTGTGAAACTACAGGAAAGACTGCTGCCTACTTAACATTTGGGCGCGAGTTGCGAACTCCTGACGACGTGAAACATGATTTCAGGGTCGTTACGGATACCGAGAATTTCCTTCCCCAGATAACTCCCTATCTAAAGAAAATTTCAATCACTTGGCAAGAGGTCAAAGCGTTAAATGAAAAAGCCCAAGACCGTCGAAAGGTCTATGCAGATGTCCGAAGAAATGATGTGGATCCTTTCAAGGTTGGTGACCTAGTGTAGGTGCAGACACACGCGCTTAACAATGCTGAGAAAGGACTCACTGCAAAGTTTCATCCGAAAAGAGATGGACCTTACAAGATACTGAGGCAGGTATCCGCAATCAGTTATGAGGTTGCCTATCCCGATAACCAAACAACACCGTTGGGGGTTTATCATATCTCATCTCTCACTCATGCTAAAGCCAGCGAAGTTGAGAAACCTGCACTTGGTTTGAGAAAAAGAAGGCGACCCGCGAATAAGAATACAGTCAGTAGAACTGGCCCCTCCTCGAGGCGGGTTCGAGACCAGGGGGGAGAATGTAACAAATCACTTTTACCCATCCTTGGGCCGGCCCTGCCGTGCCCTAGCTGGTGGCTGCCAAACACGAAACCAGACATGAAGATCTATCGAAGAACAGTTAGGGAGTTACATTGACACACTTATGGCCTACGAATTATCTTCGCGTTGCGAAATAATCTCAATGTATTGTTGTGTTATTATTAACCAAAAATTCATTTAATGAGTCATTTTCCTGAGAATAGTACAGCAAACGTGTCACGAGAGGCAGCAGTAGTAGTAGTTATAAATACCCTTTTATAATATTTGAAAATACGCCCCTTTTACAATTCAGAGGTCAGGTTAGATGTTGAGGATGAATAGTTTTTCAAAATTGAATATTCGAAAATACGTTAGAATTCGAAAGTCATCGCATTTGTTGCGGTTATTTTTTTTGGTTAGCTGTCTCTCTCTAAATTTCAATCTTTCAAATGATTTCTACCATCATCTAGTATCATCATAGAAAAATCGCGGAAATCCGTGTGAACCCCGTTACTTTTTAAAATTTTGTTTTAAATGTCAATGCATTTTATACACAGAATGCGGCTGTAATTTTTTTCAAAAGAGAAATGAAAATTTCTTATGTTTTTTACCACTTTTGTAAATTTTCATTTCTCTTTTCATTATGATTTCCTACCACGTAGTAACGGCTACATCCATCAATTTAGTAATTTCTTTCGTTTGGTTGTTCTCTTTATCTCCATATTTAAATGTAGTGCTGAAAAAAAAGACGTAATTTTGATACTTTGACAAGCTAGATCTCGGAAACTAATCGAGTCCGACAAAAAAAAAAGTTCTGAATTCCTACCATCATCATAGAAAAAATCGCGAAAGTCCGTGAGTATTTTAAAACTACAATTTTCCCCATAAGCATTTGAAATACTTTAACATATTTTATGTAGAATTGAGGTTTTTTTTAAAGGAATTGAATTTTTTTTTTTTGGATGAGTGCATGGGTATTTTTTTATTGTTTCATGCTGCCACAAATTTTCATAGTTTTTTTTTCAACTGTCATTTCAATACGAAAACAGCACATTCAATTCTCACTTATTAATGTAATATTACCAACAACATTCTTGTAAATTTGTCATCCAGTCTAAAAGTACATGTACATCAAACAACTTAAAGTTAGTAAAGAAGATATATTTCTGAGGAAATATTGTATGGAAGTGTATGGAGTAATATTATGGTATAGGAATGTAGGCTTTCACGGCTGCCGTGAATGTTTTGGTAACTTATAAACTGAACAAAAAGAGTACTTCTATCACGCCACTGAAGATGACTGTTGCAATTGAAGTGTTTCGAGATTATAATCAGAAAAGACCACGGCAAAACCCGGAAACGAACCAAAAGAATATTATGGTTTTATTGAAAACACTATCCATACCATTCAAGTATCCACCCAAGCTAGATTCTTTAATTCAACTTTATGTTCACACCAACCCTATAAAAATCTATACCTATATAGATTTTGTTTAATAAAATATTTTTTGAATTAGTTGAATATAGGAATTATAATGAATCTATTAGAAAGATTTGTGCTAAAGCATTAAACAAATTTCGCAAGGTATGACAAATTACTTGAGTGGATAAACTATATCGGATAAAGGTTTCATTTGGAGCACATGTACAAGTATTTTTTCTGAGATGGTTACTCTTTGTATTTCGCTCTAAATAGAAAACAGCAAATAAAACTCAAAAATGTACAATACAACAATTATCTACATATGACAACTGACACCAATGACAAATACACAGCACACAAGACATGTGCTTCAATGAAAATCTTTATTTGATATAGTAATAGTAGTAGCGGTAGTATTTATTGGCCATATTTACATATAGAGTACAATTGGCAGGTCAAAAAAGTCGCTGACAGGTATGAGAATATAAAAATTTCACGTTACATAGTGAAGATACTTTTGACTTACTGTCAAATTAGAATTATCATCTTAGAAATTTATTAAATACCTAGGTTAGAAATAAAAATATAATTTATCTAAGCAAGAATAATGTTACAACTTGAAAAAAATATTTTGGAGAATATAAAATGAGTAAGTAGCACAATTCTTCTAGGATGGAGTTTTTTTGTGCAATCTTGGACCTGTCTCTGGAAAACACTGCAACCTCATGTACTTATTACGTTTTTCTCCATCTTTTTTATGGCACCCGGTTTAACAATTGTGTCCCCTGTACTAGTTTGCATAGGTCCCTTGCTGGATGTATGTCATATTCTTCTGGACATAATTTGGGTTATCCATAAATTATTTGCCTCCAGTAACCTCACATTGGCATAAAATATAACGAGCTGTCTCTGTCCGTTTATTACAAAAGCCTACAGGGAAGGTGTCTCCGTTGTAGAGCTCAATTTTGTTCAGATGTCCTCTTAATAGACAGTGTCCAGTGAGTAATTATTCTGAGTCGATCTCTGCTTTGTTAAAACTGTTCTTCAGTTCTCTTCTGGGACCTTTATAGTGAACCCACAGCTGGTTAACAGAAAAACAGATTTTAACAGATGAAAGTTTTCTGGGGAATGTTTTCCTAGTATTTTCTACGTTTTTATAGACCCAAATATATGTTGAGAAACCACTAAACTATTTGAACTTTGATTTTATGATATGAAGTATTGTAAAATGTGTTTTTGAGTTTTCCACATTGTTTTTACTGGGGTTGAGTATATGATATAAAAAACCAGTAAACTACATTTTATAATTTTTTCTGCTTTATATAATTAATATATACAACATGCAATCTGAAATATTTTTTTCACTTGTGAATGTACCTTTTTTGTTTAATTATTTTATTGCATTATTTTATTTCTGATTGTATAGACAGTTGTCATAAATACATTTATTTTCAGTTGATTCAACGGAAGACATGGTTCAAGACACCAGTAGACATTATTTACATCCGAGTTTGACATCAAACATTCCAGAACTGGTAGGTGTACAAACAGTTGTTCTTATTCAGTTTAATAGAGACCTTTTTCTTGTAGTAAGTGTAAAAAAAATTGTGTTTTATATTGTGCATCAAAGGGGTTTGAATAAAATTTTATTATTCAGAGTGATTTTTTTTTCATTGATTTCTTTTTCACACACTAGGACAGATGAATTTTTGAATGATTCCAACTAAGGAGAGGTTGTTAGAAATCACTCATTCTTGTAGTTCACAAAGAACTACTGAACGGCTTTTACTGAGCTGGTGTCTAACTACGCAGCTAATTCTGTACGAACTGTACTATTTAAACAGGTGAAGAGTAACGTATAACTCTTTTCTGAGTTCTATTGAGACAGACATTTGCAAAAAAATCAATTCCTTTGCAAATTAAGGGAAACATGAGACTCCAATCTTGCAGGTTGTTCAACCCATTTCTTAAAAGGCAGGACATATCCTTAATCTTTTCTTGATGATAGAGGAATTCTGAACTTTATTCTCAAATTATGGACAATAAAACGCCCTTAGTGGATTAGCCAAGGGAGTAGTTGTTTTCTGGTAATTTTGAATATTATTCTCTCCAAATACAAAATATCAACACTCTTGAATTTGTGAGTTTAAAAACCCCCTACAGTCTTCAGTGTTGAATTTTAAAGTTGGCACCCTGCTTCGTTCAACTACCTGTCCTTCCATCTTACTTGAAAACTCCCAATATAACCGAGTTTTCAAACTTCACATTTCAGTTTTATAATTGATAATGGGGTTAAACCCGAANAGGAAATGAGATATTTCCAAAAAAAGCGCAAAAAACCGATTTTTGTGACCTTTGACCTTGAAATTTAATAGTTGCTTACACCCTACCATATGTAGGTTTTGAGACAACTTTTAGGGTGTCAATATACAAGTATTTACAGACTTACAGCTGGGTATCTCAAATTCCGAGATTCTTACCTAATTTAAGCTTAAATGACTGGATTAAGATAAGATGTTTTCATTTTGGAAAGTGCTGGTTTTCTGAGGTGATACTACATGATGTCAGGAATTCAGAACACTTCTTATTTTTAGTCGGACTCAATTAGTTCTCAAGATATAGCCTGTCAATTTGTATTCTGTCATATTTTACCTTTTTTTAGGCAATGAATGATTTTTTTATTCAACCCATCTTTTTCTATATCATCGCACCTTTTTCTATCCCTTTTCATTCACTTATTGCCAAGATTTTTGAAATTAAATTGAATTTACATAATTTGTCAGGTGCTTAGGTACATAACACAAATCACTTTTTGTAAATTGCATGAAGTTTCACTATTGGGATTAGAAAATTCTCTACCAACCAAAAATTATGTTTTTCAATAATCACTTAGAAATTTATAATGTTTTTGGATTTTTCAACTTTCAGTTGATTATAATATTTATACCTAAAATGAAAATAATTAATATTGAAAAATATTGATGTGCGCATTTGTTGAATTGTTGGTACCTAGTTGCGGATATTTATCTGTCTAGTGGTTGTCTTTTTTTTGTTAGCTGTTTTCTCTCTCTAAATTTCAATATTTCAAATATCATTTGTGAAAAAAATTAAATATTACATAATGGGATACTCACGGATTTTCGCGATTTTTTCTGGGATGATATTACATGATTCAATTAGTTCTCAAAATATAGCCTGTCAAAGTTTGTGTCATGTTATATTTTACTTTTTTTTAAGCAATAAAGGATTGCAATTCACATATTTTTCATTTACACACCTTTTTCCATATCGTCATACCTTTTTCTATCCCTTTTCTAAAATACATGAGGTTTCCAATTTGGTAGGTCAAGTTGGATGTTGAGATTGTTGAGAAAAGATGGTTTTTTCAGAGTTAAACATTCGAAAATACGTTTTTTTTTAGAATTCGAAGGTTGAAGAAAGATAGTTTTTACAAAATTAAATATTCAAAAATAACATCCTCTTAGAATTCGTAGGACAGGTTAGATGTTGAGAATAGATAGTTTTTAAATAGTTTCTATTTAGTTTTCTAGAATACATGAGGTTTTCAATTTAGTAGGTTAGGTTAGATGTTGAGAAAATATAGTTTTTCAAAGTTGAATGTTCGAAAATATGTTTGTTTTCGAATTCGGAGGTCAGGTTAGATGTTGATGAAAGATATTTTTTCAAAAATTAAATATTCGAAAATACGTTCCCTTTAAAATTCGGAGGTCAGGTTAAATGTTGAGGATAAATTGTTTTTTCCAAAAGAAATATTTGACAATACGTTTGTTTTAGAATTCTGAGGTTAGGTTAGATGTGGAAAATAGATAGTTTTATAAAAATTAAATATTCGAAAATATTTTCCTTTCAGCTGTCAAAATAGATGTTGGAATAGATAGTTTTTTAAAAATTAAATATTGTAACAAATCAATTTTACCCATCCTTGGGCCGGCCCTGCCGTGCCCTAGNTAGGAAACTTTCAAACAGAAATTCTCAGGACAACGGAAAACCTAAAACATCTACCCGTGATTCAAACACCGCTCGATTTAGTTCATCCAATTCAACATCAGATAGTACTTCTCGGAGTAATATCATTTTCGCATTATCGTGCTATGGATGCGGTATGATAGGGTTCATTCGTACTAATTGCCCTTCATGTAATAATTTCGAAACGTCCTCAATGGAATTTTTCAGCATCGACACGCTCATTGCCCCTCTTTACAGACCATATATTCATGTAGACATTTTAGGTCATCACGGTCAAGGTCTCATAGACACAGCGGCAAAACAGAGTGTTCCGTAAGGCCTTATATGATATTTTGAAACGCGAAGGCCAAGCATTTTCTGAAGAAAACATTTTGGTGAAGTTTGCTGATGGTCAAGGTAAAATGAAGAATGTCCTTGTACCTGTGTTGACGTGAAGGTCAAAGACAAGACTATACCTACCAAATTCATCATCTTCCCAGATACACCAAATAAAACTCTCTTTGGCATAGATTTCATACAGGATGCGAAACTTATCCTAGACGCTCATAATAAGAAGTGGTACTTCTCAGAAAACTAATCGGTTCGCTACGAATTGATATTTGAATCTGCCACCAATTATTCCGATCTCGCTTCCTACTCGACTCCCGAAACTAAAAAGGCTGATAACCTGCGTCCGGAAGAAGGAACCATGCTTACAGATGATCAACGTTCTCGACTCCAACTCTTTCTGAATCAGCACGAGAATATATTCAGTCTGGGGGGAGAACCGACTCCCTATGCACAGCACCACATCAACACTGGCGATCACCCTCCGATTGCCTTACCTCCGTACCGAATGTCCCCAGCGGATACGAGTCACTTGTCCCCACTAACAACAAGTGACTCCTATCCGCTTCCGCGAATGGACGATTTACTCCATGCAGCCAAAAGAACATTCTACATGACCACAATAGATTTACGATCGTGTTATCGATTAATGGACCAGTTTCGACGTGGTCTCGGCAGTGTCGTGATTCTCAGTTACTTGGACGATTTAATTGTTCTTTCTAGTACGTTTGACGAACACCTACATGACTTGAAGCTCGTGTTCGATAGACTTGAACAATTTGAACTTCGCGCCAACCGTAAGAAGTGCGTGTTCGCGAGTGCCAAAGTAAAATACATTGGACATTACATTACTCCGGATGGTATTTCGGTTGATCCCGAGAAGACTTCGGTGATAAGTGAACGTTTACCACCACGGAACGTCAAAGAAGTGCTATCCTTCCTTCAAACTGCTAGCTGGTATAGGCGATTTGTAGAAAACTTCGCAGAAGTATCTCGCCCGCTCAGCGATTTAACGAAAAAGAAGGCAGTGTGACGGTGGACTCCCGAATGCCAATTGTCATTTGAAAAACTGAAGCAGTTGCTGTATACTTGGACAAAATGACGAGACGAATCGTGACGAGTCTGATACGTACTGTTGTGAGTAGTTATGCATTAGGCGCCGTATTGCTACAAGGTGAAGGAGAAGATGAGCATTCTGTAGGGTACGCGAACCGTTGACTGAATGCCGCAGAACGAAACTACTCCACGTCAGACAGGAAAGCCTTAGCTGTGGTATAGGCCCTAGGAAAATTCAGAGGCTACGTTGAAGGCTCTCCGATAGTCGTGCAAACCGATCACCAACCACTACGATGGTTACTCAGTTTGAAATCACTTACTGGTAGGTTAGCACGATGGGATTTACTTATGCAAGATTACGATATCAAGATAGAATACTTACCAGGAAAACGACCGTTGTCGCCGATACTTTGTCTCGTCCTCCTTGCGACCATGAAGAACAAGTGGCTTGCGGGTTGTTTTCATTTGCCATCTTCTGGTGATGTCTGGTTTTTTCAACCAGACTGATTAGTTCAAACTCTGTGTCTCAATTTATAGGGATAGATGTTCCCCTTTACCTGCGTTGCTGCCACTATCTGTGTTTGCTCGACTACCTGTTTTGGTCTTATTACCTGAGCTGCCTCTCCTGCCTCTGTTATTGTACCTGTATTGTCATGTGCCGAGTTTTGCTTCTGGGGTTGAGCGGTCTGATTGCTTGTGCGAAGCGATAAAACGGATCTCCATGTTGATGGTAATCTTTGCGCATGTCAGCTTTGATGTAACCTCGTTATTTACCCAAGTACCCACCGAAGAGGCACTAGAAATAATCAAAAAGAAATACAAACTGGAAGAGCATATCATCACCTTGGCGGAACATTGCATCAAAAACACTGACTTCATCTATAACGACCAACGATACAGACAAATTGAAGGGGCACCAATGGGCTCGCCACTATCACCCGTTGTTGCCCATCTCTTTATGAAATAATCGAAACCGAAGCAATAGCAACGTCACAATTGAAACCTAAACTCTGGCTGTATGTCGATGACATCTTCGTGATTTGGTATCATGGACACCAGGAACTTTCCAAGTTTTTTAATCACTTGAATGAAATCCATCCACGCATTAAATTTACAAAAGAAGTTGAAGAAGGCAACCAGCTCGCATTTCTCGATGTGCTGATCATGGAAAAGCCGGACGGTACACTAGGCCACACGGTATATCGAAAGCTCACACACACGAATAGGTACCTAAACGTAAATTCACATCACCACCCAAAACAAATTCAAGCGGTGGCAAAAACACTGATTACACGTTCTAGGAGGCTGGCAGACAACGATCACAGACAACAAAAGTTGAACACTATCAAAACAACTTTACAAATGAATAACTACTCAGAAAAAAGTATAAAAGCGGCTTCCAAGACCACACGGAAACAACAAAAAACTCGAGATACACCCGTCATAACAACCACACTACCATATATTGCAAGAACAACAGATAAAATCAGCAGAATTATTCGCCTACACAACATATCAACTTCATTCGTACCAGAACGGACAATAAGGTCCATGCTTCGTGATCCCAAGGATCAGATACACAAGGAGTCACAAGGAGTGTATGAAGTACCATGCCACGATTGTGACAGGACTTACATCGGCCAGACCAACAGACGAATCAACATACGCAAAGATGAACACAAACTATCAGTGAAGGAAAAATTTACCACGTATTCTCTCTTCCAACACGTACTGCAGACAGGACATAACATCAATTTCGATTACACAAAAATACTAGCAAGCAATAAAAACTTTTACACGCGAACAATCAGAGAGGCTATCGAAATTGAAAAACGACCTAATAATATGAACAAGAGGGATGATGCGCAAAGATTACCATCAACATGGAGATCCGTTTTATCGCTACTGACCAGTCTGGTTGAAAAAAACAGACCTCACCAGAAGATGGCAAATTATACTTTGCCGAAACGTTGTGAGAATAATCCTAATGGGAATAAAATACACAGAACACGGAGCGAAACCCGAGAAAACAGCTCATACGTATATATGCATATATACATATATACATATATACATATATACATATATATATATATATATATATATATATATTTATTCAATGAATTTTGAAGAAAGAAATATCGACTGTTGAAATATCATAATTTTGTATAAAGAGTGTGTATTGCCAGTGAATTCTTGAACATTTGAAGTTTTGAAACTTCAACTTGAAAAATATAAAAAAGACAGATGAATATCACACGTATGTTAAAAAGAGTTTGACAAATTAAGTTTTAAATATATTGTGCTGGGCGTAGATACACCTAGCACATATTTAGATAAATATTATATTTGATTGAACTGTGGAAATATAGAAGTTTCAACTGAGTAAATTTGCTGAGAAAATGCTATATTATAAATATTTTCATGCAATACTATAAAAAATTACGTATAATAATTTGAAGTGGTATTAAATTATTGGGAGCTAGACTAAATAGAATTCACTGTTTCCATAAAATACAACAAACTTGGATGATGAAACAACAGACAATCTCGTTACAAAATTATGTCAAAACTGAATGTGTTATAATTTTCCTGTATATTTGTGAAATTAAAAATAGTAATTTCATTTCACTAGGAACACATAGAATTTGAAACTGAAATTAAATTGTCTAAAAATTTCAGCCTGGATGGCTTAAAAACTGAGTAATGAATCACATATTTAAACGAAAAACTGAAATAGTTTTTTCAGTATGCAAATTATTAGTTTTTTAAGTTTGATAAATTTATAGCATCTAGCAGAAAAAAAATTAGAGATCGTCTATTGAACTGTTTTCTTATTTCTATGTGAAAAAAATGTAAAAAAATACATTCAGTTGTTTTCAAGGCCTTTATCGTGATTATAATATTCACTATATCCTATCTACCTGTTGTGACACGTTTTAACTAAGAATAAAACAGCTGAAGTTGAAAATGATTTCCTAAAAATTTCAACTCAGAAATGATTTGTCAAATCTAACAATGAAAGAATATGAAATTATTATGCAATTATCATTTCTCCAGTCCTGGGCTGTTCTTGTATTCTGCCCTTTGGCGAATCCCCTTAAAAAAGTAATTTGGATTTATTGTCAAACAGGATGCTTCTACAGTGATTTCCGTACCCCAAATTCCATACAAGCCTTCAGTGAATTGTGCCTATTCTCAATTGGTCAATCGGATTCAAGGCAGTAAAGTCGAAAATCAAGATGATTCAAATTCTACTACCATGACCATTTCTGATTTTGCACAGATGACTTACGAACAACAACAGTACTACCAGTACTACTATGCCCAGCAGTACTATGAGTATTACAAGCAGATGGCTATGTACCAACAAGGCCAAGAAGCCAATTCAGGTATGAATATTTCTACTATTGAAAATGTATTGGAATTATATGTGTCTGTTAACTGCCATTTGGGCTGCCACCTTTCCATTTCAACATTGAAGCCTCATGGTCTTAATTCGTTTTTTCTCCTCTTTTTNAACTTACAAAATATAAACATTGTTTCTTCCAGTGTGAATTCTGTTGAATGTTACTTTGGATTGGAGAATCATAAAAATGTTTTTGTTATAATTTTTTGTAGTTTTTGCATTTGTATTAAAAAAAAGTTTTTCATTTGTGAATGAAGTATATTCTTTTTTCTTTCCAGAAAACATTCCAAAAGCAGACATGAATCAAAGAATAAAAAAAAGTCTAAGAAACGACACAAAAGATCGGCATCGGAGGAAAGTTCAGAGAGTATTGATTCATCATGACACATAAACTAGTAACATCATCAATAAAAGATACTGTAAATTTATTTGATGTAAATATATATTGTGAATAAAAGATGTTTTTTTATATAATATGAAATGCCTTAAAATTTGCGAATGAGCGATTTCAGAGGTTGCTTCTTCAAATAATGTCATTGTCGAAGTAGGGAATCGCGCTTGAAATATCCGCCACTATTTCAGTTGTGCAAACTTTAACAATTTGACAGAAGTGAAGACTTAGATTCAACATACCCTACTTGCATTTGAAATATCCACCACTGTTTCAGTTGTGCAAACCTTAACACATTGAACGCCACGTACAAATAAAATGTGTCCACTGGGGCCATTCATTTTAAATATCAATTTAATAAGAAATGGTACCAATTTCATCCACTACATATGAACATTTTGTTTTAGTTTTAGCTGCGCGAGTTACATACAACTCATGGAGCCTCAATACCAAAATCATGACTCAGGGCCACGTGACATGTTGTAACCTATAAAATGCTGGTGTTCAAATAATCGGTTCCTCAATTGCCGGTGTTATTGAAATAGGGTGTGTGTGCGCGTCAACAAGAATTGTATTTTACCGTTGTTTCTGAATTATTTCAAAGGTATGGCTCGAAAATTCATGTCTTACGAAGACCAACAAAAGCAGCTTCAGCTGATACATATTGTGATATGAAGAACGAAGACATAATCGACCCATTCGAAGGCGAAAGTTCTGAAAGTGACTATTATGTTTCGTCAGAAAATGAATCCAGTGACAGTGAGTTCAAACAGCCTAACCGAAAAAAAATAAAACTCAACAAAGATACTGCAAAATTTAGCGACAGATATTCATATTTGATGAATCCATTGAAAATGTAGTTTTTAAAAATAATAGTGATTCTTCCGAAAATGATGACGTTGATGAGCGCCCTGCAGAATTACACTTCACTTGGAAAACTGTTACCGGTAAAATTCTTAAATCTTTTGATTTTACTGCAATAAACTGCGGAATCTCACCAGAAATTGCCTCTTTTCTACAAGGAAAGAGACCTTATTATTTTTTTAAAGTTTTTTATTGATCAGGAAATGATTCAGTATATGATTTGGAGACAAATAAATACGCCCAGCAAAAAATTGAGATTGATAATATCTCTCAATATTCTCGATTGAAAAAATGGAAACCTGTAATGATAAAAGAGTTCGAAATATTCTTAGGAATAATTATTTGGTTGGGTTTGGATAGAAAGCCACGAATTAGAGATTATTGGTCTAAAACTATTCTTTATAGAAACGAAGTAAAGAAATGTATGTCAAGAAACAGGTTCGAATTAATACTTCGCATGTGGCATTTTTCGGATAATACACAATGTCCAAAAGGTGACCGACTCTACAAGATTCTACCATCAATTGATCGTTTGTTGCAAAAATTCCTAGCAGCAAATGTCCGAAGAAAAATATTTGTATTGATGAATCACTCATTCTTTTCCGTGGCCGTCTCTCCTTCAAACAATACATAAAAAACAAACGACATAAATTCGGAATAAAACTTTATAAGTTATGCTCAGAAAACGGATACACTTTCAATATGAAAGTTTACTGCGGAAAAGATGTTGTAGACAAAGATGTTCCTGTGTCCACATCAATTGTAATGGGTCTGATGGAGAATCTTCTTGATTCAGGTAGAATATTGTACACCGATAATTTCTATACCAGTGTACATCTGGCTCATGAATTATNCACATGTGGTTCACTATTGGATTTTGGACGACCGGTATAAAATCGACCTTCCAAAAACGGTGTGTGCAATTAGCCTGGGGCTAATTGCACCGATTTTATACCGGTCGCCCAAATTCCAATAGTGAACCACATGTGGGAACGGGACGCTAATTACACACACACCGATTTTGGTCGGCCGACTTTATACCAGTCGTCCAAATTCCAATAGTTAAGCACATGTGGGAACGGGACCTGGGTCGACCGGTGATCGTCGCCGATCTCCGGTCGGCGTATGTGCCAGGTCCCGTTCCCACATTTGGTTCACTATTGGAATTTGAACGACCGGTATAAAATCAGCCTTCCAAAATCGATGTGTGTGCAATTAGCCTAACATATCTTGAGTCAAACTGAATGTATTGTGTCAGCTCAAATCAACATTGTTCAAATCCTAAGAAAAGTTACTGCACATTTTTCATGTTAATAAATCTGAAAATTTGAAATGTTCTTCTGTTTTTAATGAGTCTTTTGAAATTGTGATGTCAGGAAATTATCTAACAAGGCTTTTGTTGAGATAGATGTTTCTAATAATTATTTGTACATATTCATCCTCGTTCATCAACTATATTTTTCACAATTGTCATTAGTTGACACAGCTCACACTTGAATGACATGTTATTAACGACACTGAATCTAAATTATTTTCACAGGACAATTTATTCCACCTCAAGATTTTCAAAATTTAGATGCCAACATTCAAACCTACATTCAACAAATTGCTTATAATCAATACTTGCAGCAGATGCAACAACAGTCTCAATCAAATACCAATTCCTATGCTCAGATTGTAACAAATGTAAATAAAGATAACAACCCATATGCCATGAATGTACCTCAACTTGTCCAAACTCTTCCTCTACAAGAAGATATTTCAAAAAGTCCTGTTGCGTATGGTCCTATTTCAAAACCTGAGAAAGATTTTCAGAAAGATACAGAAAGATTGGACAGATCCACAGATGAAGCAGTAATACTATTAAAAAAGCCCATCCTCTCCCTTGCTGCATATGGTTCCAGCTCTGAAAGTGATGATGAAGAAACTTCTGAAGAAGAACAAAAAGAACAATTCAAAGAGAAGGAGATATATAAAATTCCTAATGGTGACATACAGATTGTTATTGATAAAATGGCTGTCTATGTTTCAAAAAACGGAGAACAATTTGAGGAAATTGTGAAAGCCAAAGCTGATCATCGTTTTGATTTTCTCAACGAAACTCACGAATTTTACGAATATTATCAGTTGAAAATCAGAGAGTTGAAAGGGGAAATACCTTATGATGAAAAAAAAGCAAAGAATGAAATTCATAAAGTGAAGAAAGAAAAGAAGGTTATAGGTAAAATATTTCACTTAAAAAATGTAAGAAGTTTTCAACTCAGTAACAAGATTTGTTTTGTAGCTCCTGTCAGTTTTTCAATTAAGAAAACCAAGGAAGATCCTCCCAAAGAAATAAAAAGTGCCTTGCCCATGGAAGAGAGTGATGAAGATGATGCAGTAATAGCACCAGCCCCAACAGTTAGTACAGAAAATGTGGCTCACATTACATCTACGTCTACTGCATCATCACTGGTTTCGATATTACAAAAATATGCAGATAATCAAAAAAAAGTCATCAAAGAAATGGAAAAGTCTGTC